CCTGAGAAAACTCGAGTATATGTATATTGTATATCTTTTTGTTATTTATATATATAAATAGAATATAAACTTTATTGTAAAACAGTTTAGTACCTCATACATACAAAAGTACTTCAAATTATTGGCCATGTACATATGAATTATCGCTCAAAGCAATTTCTTACAGTACAGTCTACTATCGTCATTAAAAGTTAGGACTAATTAATGTATTTTAAAACCTATTATGTATTTGCTTTAGGAAGCATGCCACAATTGATCAATTCAGATGATATAGAGTATAGGTAATTTGCGATAAATCACCTTTTGGTTCTTTTATTTGCTATGATTATGTTACAAAGAAGACGAGGATGTCCTGAACCCGTTCTCTAGCCGAGAACACAATCAGTGTTCCACTAAAGTATGACCTCGGACCTCTATTGTATGTGATCAATGGACAATATTAAGCCTCTTCGCAACAAGTCTACACAGTCGCTCTCAAATTAGCATCCACATCCGTGTGCACACTACAAGATGCCGTTAAACCTGTTTAGGCTGTTACAACAATTGTTAACAACTAACGGTATTAAGATAACAATTTTACACGGTTGACCGACAAGCGTCGATGTTTTTTTTAACACATCAGCTGTCTTTAGGCTAAATAAATTGTATAAGAATGTTTTCACACATCACGCTGGTCGATTAAAATCGCGTCATGCATTCAACAGTTTGTGTACGCACTACAAAAGACACCACCCACGTACGGCCGGCGGGCTGCCGCCGCACCGCATCCGTCCCACCGAGATTGATAAACCAATTTGACATCATTGCCGTGGGAAATGTGGGGATACATAGTACTTTAAGTATCAACAGCACAACAACATAATTTGACAAAGTATCATTGTGAAGCTCCGATAAAATGATATAGGATTAAAAACGCACGCTTACAATATTGTATCATCCTCGGACAGAATTATAGAGCTCAGGTTCTATGTTATTATAGCTGTAAAATAAAAATATTTTTATAAGAAGTTGCTAGATGATGTAGTTCAGTTGTGTAGTTATTTGTAGTTCAAAATGTAGAATTAAGAGTATGGTAATAACTTATTACTATAAAGTAGCATAAAAAGTGAAATCCACGAGGATTGTAATTTAAGTTCGCTTCATAGCTCTAAATGGTTAGACCGAAATGAATTAATGTGCATGGGCGGGCATATCACAAGTCTATATATGTATAATCAGATCTAAATTGAATGAGAGCCAGTTTTAGCTCTTATAAAAATTTGAACACAGTTTTTGAGCCAGTCTTAAATTAAAGATTGGGAAGGTTACGGTTGAATAACTTCCTTCAGTCAGTTTCGTTGTGTGTCATAAAAACACAAAAAAGAGTGCACCGATATTTTTTTGTTAACATGCAATATTTGATACGCAATAAAAATAGATAATTAGTTGAACGTAGCGACAAATTAATGTTAATTACTATGAAATTAGGTACCTACCTAATAAGTCGCTGTCAGGATCATTTTTAGCCTTGATCTCTGTATAGGCCAATATAGTTGATTTTACGGTTAATCAAACCCTACTTAAATTTGGACTGTCCCTACTTAGTTGTTGTACCTACTTATTAAGGTTGTTTGGCTAGAAATTAATGTACATTTTTAATTGACAATTCCTTTAACTGCTTATTGAAAGGTTCGATTAAAGTTTGGTAACGAAATGACAGACTGACATAATACCTACAACCAGTTAAAACAGTTTTGAGTTTTATGTATCAGTGATAATAACCCAGTCAAATATTGAATTTATCTTTGGAAACTTATATTGATAATTGATTTTCAATAAGTTTTGAAGGAGTAGTGGAGGGGGTGTGCGGGCGCGCAGGCGGCGGCTGGTGGGAGGCAGTCAACGGTGATGTAAGATCGGCTGGCTCTGGCGGTGATGTCAGCGCGCCCACGTCTCGCGCCGCTCACCTCCCCGCCGCCACTCAGATTTGCGCCGCTATGGCAAAGCCTTCCGCAAAGTCGCGTTATTTTCATAAAAAAATATGGAATTACATTAGAAAATCGTATATGTTTACTATTCCGGTATAAATTATAAGTAACGGAAATGTAGGATATTTAAAGGTAATTGCAGATCACAGATCACAAGGAGACAAGAAGTTGGCAGTGAACGTCCTAATGTTCGTGTTCTGTACAAAAACGTTGACGCAATGCAGTGTAGCATATGTATATCTCGCCAAGTAGACCGCAACACGACTAATTTTGCCAGAAAATTAATTCGCTTCACCATTTGCTAGTTGTGGGTGGTTAAGTAGGAATATTTATTATCATATTTAGACATTGAACCGTACCTTTTAGCTTTACAGATTAGGGTCAAGATTTACAAGATCCATAATAGATAGAATTGAGGTAATATTAGTCTACATGTTTGTAAAAAAAGGATTTAGGGCTGAGTTTCACACCCACTTATGTTTGGAATTTTTTTCATGTTATTTTGTCATGCACGTAGGTTACCATATAAATTTTGAGACACAAAAAGTTATCAATATATATCTGCTTACACTATATAAATATATATATATTTAAATACTCCTCATCACTATAATAAAAAATAAAAGGAATAAAAAGAAGTCACAAGAAGCTAAGTCAAGGCTGTGAGATGGGTGAGGTAGGATTTCAATACCCTATTCTTGAATAAACGGCTTTGCTCTGAGGGACTCTTGTGAAGACGCATTGTCGTGGCGTATCATAACTCTCCGGAGCCTGGTCTTTGGTCGTCTCTCATGCACAGCATTGAAAACTTTTGCCAGTGCCTGTAGTTTATTCTGAGTTAACAGACTTACAATTCTCTAGCATTGATGTTGCAAGATGTCCACTCCGTGAAAAAAAAAGCTGGCCAGCATTTTTTTTTTTGCCAATGTGACGCGGTCTTTGCAATTTTTTTGGCAACTGGTCATCTGGAAACACCCATAGAAAGAAACGCTTCTTTCTTTCCTGATCATATTTATATATCCATGTTTCGTCGCCAGTAATGATTTCAGAAACACGTCTTGACCTCCCATGTTCAAAACGTAGACGCATCTCACGCCATCATTCCACATGGTCTTCTATTTCAATTTCGGAGAGCAAACGAGGTATCCAACGATAACAAAGCTACTCATTCTAAGATGTTCATGTAATATGCCGAACCGAACTGATGCCTAAGATTTTCTCTATGTCCCTGTATGGAATTCGTGGGTCATCTCGCACAAGCATTTCAATAGTTCACACATTTTCAGTCACATCACATCACATCAACAGCCTATACTAGTTCACTGCTAGATAGGCCTCTCCTTAAAAAGGAGGTTTTGGCCTACACATTTTCAGTAGTCAGCTGTTATTATCTTCAATGCTAGTTTTTCCCCTTTTAAATTCGTTAAACCATCTAAAAATGATTTGCCGAGAAGGAGCAGGAAGGAGCAGACTCACCTTAAGCTGATTTTAAACATTCTAAGCTTAAACCTTTAGATAAACCACATTTAAAGTCATAATATATCATAGCACGCAAATTAAGCTCCATTGTAGCAGATCAAAACGCGGGAAATGATGACAGTATAATACTTCTAATTTTTTAATTGCTGTAAATGGCCTTTTGTGTTCGATTTTCAAATGTCACACAGGTGGTAGATGCTTGCGTGATTATTAACATATTTCAGTAAGTGCAAATAAAGAAGCACCCACGGCGCTTTTAAGTAGGTATACGTGTTGTTTAGTAAGTTATTTCACACGCTTTAAAAAGAAACAAGTAGACTTCACAAACGAAATAAGTAAAAATAGTTATTTCGTTGCGTTGTATGCCGTGGAAGTAGGTGCAAGGGGTATACCAGCTAAATATCTCAATAAATCTTGGCAATCCAAGGTCTTTAAGAAGGTTAAGACCTTGGATTGCCAAGAGTTTCAGTAAGCTCTTTTCTTGAACGAATATGGTTCATCAAATATGTTTAGGTAGAGTGTGTTACCCAGCAGACAGAATACTCCTTAAACCTATTCCTGGGTCCTCGGTCCTCCTTAACCTAGTCGCATGTGTTGCCCCCATCTATCACGCGATGGAACCCGGCACCCGCACGGTGAATTCATTGAACGTTAAGAAATAGGTCTTAATTTGAGTCTGTCTCCAAAGGTTAATAAATAAGTGCTAGAATTAGAGTTTAAAAATATCATTTTATTTCTAAACGTTAAGGAATTTGTCCCGAATTCAGTTAGTTTGACGGATATACATGTACAGAGAGAGCTGTTGCATAAAATGATGAATACATAAATAATATTCTTCGACGTTTATTAAGTCTTATAAACCAAATTGTTATATTGTTTTTTAATTTAACTAGTAATATATTTATATAATTGATTGGTATAGTAGGCCAAAACCTCCTTTCTAAAGAGAGGCCTATTTCCAGCAGGGGATCAATAAAGGCTGTTGATGTGATGATGTGATGTGACACGACCGTGTTTAAAATCTTTTGTATATAAAATATCATAGATGAATTTTGATATCTATCTATATAAGCAGACTTTTGATATCTATGATATATTCTCACTATCTCCACCAATAAAAAGATCGTACATCGCACAAATCCACTTTAGTGATGTTATGAGTGTTTAGGAGCGCACTGCTAACCGTCTACCATCAATAAATGCTTGTGCTTGTTCAACAGCTTAATAATATAACCTATAAAATTAAATAGTCTACAGCAAAAACTGTCTTTCGTCCATTTTGATATTTTATGAGACAAGCGTATTGTGTTTACGAAATCCAATCACCCGTATATATCTAAATAATTTATTATATGCACATATATCAGATAAAATATGGTAGTAAAATTTTAATGACAATGGCCTGAAAGTGAACCTATTAAATTGATTTAACTATTAGACATTATGTAACAAGAATTAAACAGTGATATTTCCTTGAAGTGATGAAGTGGTCAATAAACACCATGGACTCTAATATACATTTAGTGAAGTGAAAGAAGTGTTGAAGGGATGAAGATGGAGGGGGGTGTACTCAGTGTTTCAAGCGGGAACAATAGATTTCGATCACACTTAAAAAATGCCGCCAGTGCATTGTGTGCCAGGACATTACCCAAGCAAAGGCGTGGTGAGTCAATTGCTATCAGCAATGCCCGACATCACACATACCCACGAACAACGCCGACTAAACGGGCCGCACTCTCCTGTCGGATGGAACCACTTATATATACTCCAGCTCAACAGGCAACAACTTTCGAAACGGCCGATCCTATTAAATATAATGTCATCGCGGATGAAAAAACGAGCAGACCTAATGGTTTAATCAAATGGAAAGGAACCTTAGCCAGGTAAGTTCTATTTTCAACTAGTTTGAGTTATAGTTCATATAGAAATAACTAAAAATATTACAGCTGCGCTAAGATAAATTCCCTGCTTGATACACCGTTAAAATATCATTTAAATTTAATTTGTGAGAGATTAAATGAAATTGAAAATTGATATTAGGGAGCAAAATAGTATTTGTTGTAAAACGTATTAAATATATTTGTTTTTTAATCAGGCGCAGATCAGTAAATCTTATGATTTGTCTAAGTTGCTTAATAATTGCAGACGTGAGTCTCGTGGTTAGGTCAACAACATTAGCATGACGTCATGGTGACTTGTTCCCCAAGTCGTGGGGCAAAGGTAATATAGGCACCTGATTTTAGTTTATGCCAATTGTTCGTTGAAAACTACTTATATGATACTAAAATAATACTTAAAATAGCGTATAAGTAGATATACAATCGAAGTATATTAGCTTGAGCTAGGATTATAATAATTTGTTCATTGCATCATTAGTATTAATACATTTATCGAGAGTATGAAGTATATAAAGAAGACACTTTTATTTTAATATGTTTTAGAACTACTTAAATTATTTATATTCCTGGAAACGTTCTTTGGTTTCTTACATCACCGTCTTTTATAAAGTGTTCCAAATAACAAAACGTTTATTTTCAAATAATTTAATTGAGTTATTGCATTTCAGAACTTTAGCGTTAGCATTTAGATTTCATGCTAAGAGTATTAAAAAAATATGCTATGCGCATATTGCGGAAATTAAATAAAAGACCGTCACATTTTTTGCAATATTCATATATGTACATTGTTTGATTGATTGTTGTAATTTCAGTAGTCTTCGTTGCTGCTACGATAGAAAGCACTACAGTTCTTCTATTCACAAATGAAACAAAAATATACAAAATTTACACGATATCTTCATTTTGTCACTGACTCATTCACCGATCTTAAAAATTCTAAAATACTTTTGACATACACACAAGGTTCAAACTGTGAACACAATAAGTTTAGCCTTTAAAGCAAGGAACAGCTCAACACCGAAATGTCGTAGATCTACAAATTAAATAAGTAACATTGTAATCCATTAAGGACAAAGTTACTTTTGCAGTTCATACAATTTTAATCCCTCTTTTACACAATGACTTTTCGTTTAGTTATACTAGTCTTATTTCTTAGAAAATGAACAAAATTTTTAGTTCGGATCGGTTTACCATTAAAGCAGATTTTAATTAAATTAGACGTTTTATAGTGTAAATAAAAGTCTCTTACTGTATTCTATGTACGTAATTAGCTCCTCACACAATATAATGTTCACAAAATGTCTAGAACAAATATATTGTGTAAATTATCAAAAGTCCGTTATTTCAAATTTACTAGTTTAAAAGTATTTTTTAAATGCTATTGTTAACAAAAATATACACAAAAAAAATACCTTGAGATCAGCCAGTATTCTTAATAATTCCATTAACCTATCTGCATGATGTTTTATACATGCCTGTGATATTTATAGTGACTATAATACCTGTCACATACGAGTATATGCAAGTAATTATTTTGATGAATACTTTTCTAAGTGTATTTAAGGTGCAATTGTTCATTGAAAGATGTATAGAGGCTAACTCAGGTCAATAACTTCAAATGACGTCAGTTTCAAAAGCTTTCTTAATCATAGCCTTTGTGCCGCTTTATGTTCCGCTTTAAGTTATTCTGTAAACATGCGGTGACGTATTAAATACTGTTAAAAAATAGACTACTATTTTAATAAACACTTCCAGACGTCTAAATCGAGCTACCCTGAATTTTTATGTGTTGAGGTAAAATTTGCTACTCTACAGAAAAACATGTATAGTTAGGGAAGCGTAAGTGTATATATGAGTAGTCACTGTTTTTATTACTTACTTGTGTATTTGAAAAACAAAAAGGTGTGAATTGTGTACCTTTACATTAGTATGGAACCAAAACGATGAAATAGACAACTTTTCAGTTAATATTTATTTGTTGCCCTATACAATTAGGAAAAAAAAGATCTTAATTGACATTGATTGTTTCCATTCCAAAGCGCCTGTCAGTCACGAATGTTGTATTATACAAAATTATTTGAACCATATATTTTAAAGTTATTTTGATTGTTGAGATACGTAGAATACCAAAAACTTCGAAATATGTAATAACAAAAATGGACGGATAAACAGTGATATATTATCCTTTCCTTGCCAAGTATCATCCTATAACATAAATCACATAAAGACAGAACAAGGAGAACCAAATACCTATTTGCGTACGGAAACGAAGCGTGACCTTTTGCTTTTAAAGCAAGCATTATCACATACATATGTAGGTTGGTAATATAGGTATAGATAAAAATCGGTTAATATCTTAAGCCATTTTCATCGACCTTGTTCCGTTAAACCATTTTTTAATCGTTATTATGATGTGGACTCACAAATCGAACGTATACACATAATTGAACACGAATGGAGTAAATGCACTCATGTATTTATAAGCGTGCCGGTGAGAACGAGAGGGTCGATGCCGTTTCGGTCGCACACCATGATGTCATGGTATATTTTTGTAAGCACTCTGTTAGGTCGCACGCGCTTTTCGTATGTAATTTACTATCGATATTGGTATTGTTGAATATCATTGCAATACGATTTTGTCATAAAAGAAAATATACCTGTGTTAGTCAAAAAACTGCAACGCTATTTATGGCAATACCACATTGGAAAATCAAGGATTTTATAGTTAGTAGTCTAAACTTTGTATGACTTTATTTTGTCAAGTGTTGCGTTTGGATTTCAGCAATAACTGGCGGGTTCATGAAGGCCTCCCCAGTTAGGTCAAGGCAGAAACGGCTATTGGCAAAATCAGATACCTTATTATTATTAGTACGTAAGTCAAATCTAGAGTTTTATTTTGTTCGAGCTGACAAACAAGCACACCTCCCGTCATATTGTACCACTAACGGTGTCACTAACGACTAGTTTACCAACTCTAAACTTTTCCCCCTCCAAGAAGCTCTGCTGTTACCGCTACTACGCTTCTGCCTCTACTGGTCTCATGGCACTGCTTTCTAACAGTGGTCAATGGTCTTATGTATATTATATAGATTCTGAAAGGTGTGAAGGACGGTTTATTTCCAGTAGTTCCACAAAGCTAGTTCTACATGGTACTGATGTAACCTTTTTGTAATTGCGATTTTTGTTCGATGTTCCATGTTATTTTATACTACTTTTACAGCTGACATTAATTAAAGTAAAATTGTTTTGTTTTGAAACTTTTTGTCAAAATAACAATAGAAAGTCTGGGAAAACTACTAACCGTTAGAAAAGCAAATTACTATCTACACATATAATAAAAGCGTAAGAGATGAGATATTGTACATGGCAAATAATTAAAAATTAGCACAGGGGGGTCTTCGTAGATGTAATGTAGATGTAATGAAACTTTGCACTTACGTTAATCGTAGTCCTGTGTACATTTCATCACGATATTCTTTAAAGGAATTGGGAGGCAAATATTTGGAGTTTGTAATAAAAGTCGGTATTCTTGTTGCTATGGATATGAATCTTAGATTAAAATATTCTTCTGATTTTTTTTGTAGTACAAAAAAACAATAAAAAGGCTTACATGTCTTATAATACAACAAGCTACGTAACTGAAAATTCATGGAACTATTGGGTAAAATTTTCTGCTACAATAGCTATAAAGCTCTCCCCACTAGTTCCATGTATGAAACAACGAAATGCTGTTTTTCGCAAAGCTAACTAAGCATTTTTGTTACTTAATCAAGATCCTCGGGCTTAGTTTCAGTTTGCCTCATATTTATCTTGGATTTAACAACAATATATCGAACAACAAGAAGTTTAGAAATGAAACAATTAAAAAAAATCTTTTAATTTTTTATTTGGTCTGGAAAAATACAAAATGTTATCTAAAGAAAAACATTTTACTTATGAACTATAACTAAGCGTTCAGAAATATTAAAAGCCTGTGAAATATTAAAAGTTAAAAGTCAATATACTTGGCGTTTTTGTGTTTATCCACACATAGGGCGGCAAACAAACGCACGGTTAACGATGCTTTTGAAAGCTTACTATGGCAGGCGACGCCTATCGATATATCTCATTATCGAAAAACTCAATATATTGTAACGATATATTAAATTTAAATAGCCAATTTTTAGCATGTTACCAGTTTTTGTAATATGATAAAAGTTTGTTACTGGATACACTGACTGGCTAAAAAAATTAATCTGTTCTCTACTAAAATCTGTGGTAGGTGAGTGTTGTTTTGTGGTCTGCCTGTGTGGTGATGTGACTGAGCGTGATGTGTATGGATAACAAACGAGTTAAAACATCTAGAAATACAAGCAATCTAGCATCACATAGTAAACACAAACATCCAGAAGATTACGACGTTGACGATAAATCTTTGGGTAAATCACAACGTTCAGTAATTTAGTTCTTCTGTAAAATAGTATCATAAAAATAGTACAATTTACAATGATTTAGGTATATTATTTATTTATATATTTTGGTTTGGTTTATTTATATTTGGTTTGGTTTAAAAAATACATATAAAAATACATATAAACACAATCGATGAACGTTTGATATAACTAAAACTACACTAGATTTCTATAAGGTTTGAAAAAAGAAAATATATTGATAAAAAATAGATATATCAATATCGACTTAATTCAATATTTTTTAAAACCTTCCATCCCTAGTCTTGACACTCGTTGCAATTAACTTTGTCCACTCTACTTACCAGCACACCAGTTTCGTTTTCTAAAATATGGTTAGTTTTCCTTTACTTGAACAGCAATTCTTATAACGCTAAACGTTATAGCCAATAATTTGGAAACTTGCGAAATTAAGTAACCCCAAAAAAAACCTTACTCGCTTCCAAATGACTAACTGCAACAATCAACAAGAACAATGATCACGTTAATATACCTACATAATAACCATCAAAATGAATATGTATTATATTTTATTGGTAAAGTGAAATCAAATTAAAGACCATTTGGTTTTCAATATACTAATAAAACGTATATTAGGTGATCAAGGAGATCACCAAATCAATGTTTTGTTAAAAGAAGAGGTGTTGCGAAGTGCATGTGTCAGTGAGTCTCCAACATGTTACGGCACCTGTATATTTGGACCCGTAACAGCCCTGTCCGTGTGGTGACGGATTAAGAATACGGATTGTCACCACCCCCATTCATCCCGTGGGTGTCGTAAGAGCCGACTAAGGGAGCAAACTATGCAGGACAACAAAACTGTAAAGAGAAGGAAAACTTGACACAAACCCTATACCAACCCGTCTGGCCAGCGTGGTACAGTAGGCCAAAACCTCCTTTCTAAGGAGAGGCCTATGTCCAGCAGTGGACTGTTAACGGCTGTTGATGATTAACAGCCCTAAATCTAGAAGAGTGTGTATATCTATAGCCGCAGGTGCCTTTTTTTTTTTTTTCCATACCACCTATCGGTGGCATGTCGGACTCGAACCGACTAAAACCGCACGCCGTCTCGGGTACTAATAGCCGGGGAACCAGGTATACCCTTGAAAGGAAGTCCCTGGTGCCCCGACATACCTCGGGCCATCTACAGACGAGTAGACGACCCCCCTGTGTGGGAACCCCATGTTCCCTCTGCTCCCTGGAAGCGAGCGCGCTTAGCAACGCGCTCGCCGCCACCCCGGCCTGCTTCTGCTAGGGTGACAGATGCCCTCACCTGTCACCCCCAGGCCTGCGCTTATGGAGGTCGGAAGTCGTTCTGCGACCTCCGGCGCCTGAGTCGCCTGCGGTACCTGGCCCGTTAACATAACTTGCTCGCAGAAGGAGACGGCAGAGTTCCACGCACTCTCGCTCCGCACGATAGCCGCAATCAGGCTATCGAGCGAGAGAACTCCCACTCCGATGGCCGCCACGAGGTTTCGCCTCTGTGCCGCAGGTGCCTAACTTTTTTCATGGAATTCTAAATATGAAATGGTTGCTATTTAGTCACGCACTTAACCGTTTCGTTTGAAGGGAAGAGACTGACATGTATGTCATTATGACTAATGTAATGGTCACCGTGAATTATTCAATGATTTACCTATACGCGCATTACTCATGTCATAAAGAATTTAGAATCTCACTGAAACATACAAACAAATATTTCTAGAATATAACCGTGAGATTTGCACTTGTTGTTGCCATTGAAATACGTTATCGATCGATATTATGAATCATTACTACCTATTATATTAGATATTCATGTATTGATTAATTTACAGTTTTAGGGTAAGTCCCATTTTGATCATACGGGATAATTTTTTTAGGATAATTGTTTTCATTAAAAGAATATTTATCACATAATTATGATTATTGAACTCGATAGAGAAAAAGTCAAATGAGAAATGAAACTTTTTGTTATTCTAATATGTTTAAGATATATAACTGTGTAAGTATTTTAGTAATTATAATAATTGTTGCAATAAAAAGGTTTGGATGATATAAACTAGTATTTTATTATAAAGGTTTTCTACGCATACAACGCTACACTGTTCCAACGAGTAGAGAGGTAGCACACAAACAATATTAATAGTCTATAGTAATATATAGCGAAATTTAAGTTGCACAGATTATTTAAACATGCTTTAACAATAATACTAGTTTTACTCATTAAAGTACACATCAACGTATATTACAGTAATTCATTCTTTTATACTTGAATACTTCGTCCATCTCGGGCAACCTCAGTATTTTAAGGATTGTATGCAGCCGTAAAAAGGCAGAGAATACTCAAAAACTTCAAGGTATACGAAAAGAAAATAGAAAACGATATTTATATTTCAGTTGTTCTTTTAGATTTTGTAACACCGTGTGATTGTGTGAACACCGTAGATTTTGTGGTATACGCAGCTGGTCATTTATTACACGGAGGACGTAGGACACAATAATTTTTACAGCTCGATTAAATGTAATACTCGTAGTAAATTAGAATATACCGAAATGTCGAAGACTTTCATACCTATGAGATTATTCATCCGAAGTCATTGTACCTGTACCGACCTATGTGACTAATATTCCGCGTGCTCATTCTAATAGTTAAATTGGTAAATATAACATGTTCTTTTCTTGCTACAAGCTTCTTACCATATTTTATGACTGTAGATCATCGAGAAGCATCCTGTAGGTTAGCATCCACTTGATTGACTAAGTAACTTGATTTTTAAAGCTTTGAGGGACCGTAGAAATAAGTATTTGTTGTTTATTTTGAAATTATAATACCGCGCATTTCTGAGAAGAAATGGTCTTAACAGACAAACAAACAGATAGACGGAAACATAGTGATTGAGTAAGAGTTGCTTTAACCTTTTCAATAATGGAAGTCTTAAAGAGAAGTAACTACTGTACTAAGTTAATATCTGAACGACTATCAATACGTGTGACATCATGCACTACTAGTACGCGATAAAATCCATAAATACTGTTTGTTCAATGTAAAGTTAGTAGATACACTTTTGTGCCCCGATGGTTCATTTGTTCGTACTATATTGATAATTATTTGATAATGAAATTATTAATAAAGTGTGTTATTTTCATTGAATTTCATATAATTATTGGAACCGGATTTTCTGTTACAAAATGTAGTGGATGTCCAGTGCAGTATTCGTGAGTTGTAACACGTTATAAGTTTAATTTATACATTTTTACAATGTGTTTATATCGTTAGTTGCAATTACTCGTGCTCTGAGTAGCTTCTGAGTTCATTCAGCTAAACAGTTTCACGTGGGAACGTTAGTATCAGCATGCGCTATCGGAATTATAGGTAACCTAACGCCCTAAGTTGATATTTAGTCTGCCGCACTCCGGAAACTTCTGTTTATGGATGGTGTGATTACACTCGGCTATATCGTAGAAATGTGCCGCTGATACAACAGAACTGACAGCGTTTACATCTTCCCACATCGATTGTTATTTAGAAAAGTGTTATTTTGCTATTATCTATCTATCTATATTGTCTAAATACGCTAAGATTTGGTATGCCATGCATGGTTCCAACCAGATATTAAGTCAAATATTTACTAACCTATCCTCCAAATTAGTTCCTATGTTTGATTTCCATTGTCGTTTACCGGAGTTAAATTCCCTTAAGCCTAATTGAAGTACCTTACAATTCGAGGTCATTACGCCACAAAGTTAACTAGGACCGCGAACCGCTCTGTTTCACTCCTGCTTTTAGATCAAGATGCCTGTGTTTAAAATTTTATTGTTAGATCAAAATAAATCATTACTAACACTAACCGATGAAATGGTTAAAAAGAAAACGGCCTCTTATTCGATCCAAGGGGAATGTAGACGAGATGACAAGAATTACAAACCTTGAGCTAACTAAATTTATTCCTGTCTAATCGATTCTGCTCACAATCGTATTATGTATTTCGTGCATGTACACAGTCGATGACTTTTGCGGCGATTGCGGTTATTCTACTAATATTAATAATGTAATTATACAGCCATGTTTTGTTTATAAGTTTATATCTAACAGCTTGGTACAACGTAGTGATTTCGTCACAAAGATGACTACTTATTAGATTAGATGCTTGGTACCCAACAATATTTATACTGTTGTCTTATCTTTGTTTCTCAGTTAACACCAATATTTGAAATACGTAACATATTCTTTTACGTAGTGTAATACGTTAGTAGAGTTGATTGCTCCAGATTTCAGCTGCCCAGAAACGTTGCTTAGTACTTATTTGATACGCGAAACGTAATTTATTATGGTGGTACTACAGGGACATAGGTAAATTGGACTAAATTATACTTTAAAGTATAATTTAGTTCAGTATTAGAACATTAGAAGTACAATTATTAACACAAATCACGTATTGTTGGCCAATGTAAGTTTAAATATATTTTTCTTGTTACAGGGAGGTAGCGAGTGCATGGGAGTGTCGTGTGGGTCCACCCGACCAGCCGGCCTCCGCCGATCGTATTCAGAGCCTCTTCAACGACATCGAATTATACCCTACTAAGACTCAGGGTAAGAATATTTGCGTATAATTAGATAATAGTTCATTCGCATATTTTCTTTACTCCTATATTATAAAATAAAATAAACGTTTTTTACTACATATGTCTCTTGTCTAGTAAATTTGAATGGTTTTTTCTATCAAATTTATTTTTACGCCTAAGAGTTATTAACAGCGTAGACGACTATTCCTTTAATATTTTATTTTTTTTAAATCTTGACACTTCACAGCCAAGCGCCTTTATCAAGAATTATTTATCAATCAGTATCTGAAATGACTTCATGGAGGGTTAAAGGCGTAGGCCAATATGCATACAGTCATATATATCTACATTTCTGCATTAAGTCTATTTTAGCAAAAATACTTAGAGGTACCAAATACAACTTTTTATGGGTTCGTTGTGCCATAAAATTTTATTTTTATTTCTATTTCCATTTTTATATTTGTCATTACATCGTATAAAGAGATAAATCTACACAAGAAATATAGTTAGCGGCACAAGCTCTATAAAACTAAGCCTTTCTTAGTTGTCGATGGAAGTAATATAAATGTAAAAATTTTAAATAAATATAGTAATTACGTCAATATTAACGCCATAACCACAGAGCCTTTAACGGAATTTTATTTGAGTTATGAGTTTTTCCCTGACAAATTAAACCGTTTGCTGCTTTGAAATTTAATGTTTACGGAATGAAATTAATTCCCACTGAACCTCAAGATATCTATGTGCATGTGTTGTGTAAGCATGTGCATGGCGGCATAGTAAGCTCTTTTCTCATAGACTTTTACGAATGAATTCATTTTGTAGGATCCACTTTAAGTCCCCTTTTTTTAATTTAGATTTTGTAAGCCTTAATCTTCGTCGTAGTTTTTCCTCGATAACTTTGTTTTTCAAGAGACCCCTTGCAAACATTCGTTCAATCTGCATATATGTACTGTACTTACGGGATCTTAGTCTCTTCAAATTACTGCAGTATCAGTTCCGTTTCCTATCTGAGACTTCTAAAGGAAGGAGTGAAAGGAACCTGCCAAACCTCTTTTCAATTGTAATATAATACGCAGGTAAGAGGCATAGTGACATAATACATAACATTAATAAAGTGCAGACTAAATAAATTACTTTTCTGTCAATAAAAATTGTATATCACTTGAACTTTATCTGATACTATGATAATACAATGACGTCATTAAGCTAATATTTGGACGTATGCTCTTATTTATAATAAAGTATGAGTAGTATAAAGTACTTACTCAACTAACTACTAACTAAACTAAACATTGTTCAAAATGTTAGTCCAAGTATCTTTTTTCTATCGCAAGAGCAAGCACTTTGAAAATCTGATTCCCTTAATGTACAAGAACCAAGAAAATCGTTAAAAATAAATCCTTTAAAAACAAATTGAACCGACTTCAAACAATACTAACAAAGAACAGTAAAGTTTTTAAGAATGATTACAAATTGAAAAAACCAAAACAAGTGCGACCCTCAACATTATAATAGCAATAGATACCTTCTAGTCTGTTTGAGTTTCAATCCAATGGATCTAGTGATTTATTTTCTCATTAGATCTATCATATGGAATAAAATGGATCCAACGAGAATTTTTGTTTCGTAGATCCATTGGCCAGATCCATGATGGATCTGGCTAAAAATAAAACATAAAATAAACATGAGTTTAAGGTAACAATTTATTACAAGAATATAAACATTAATAAAAACGTAAACATTAATTTTTCGGGCTTTCGGCGATTTTCTGACACCTCCCCCTCTTGTGAGATGTCATGAGATTTAATTCGACCCCATCCCCCAATCTCACGTGTTTTTAGTGTATAGGCAGTGTAACAGGCTGGCGGTGGCGCGTAAACAAACAACGGGCTACTGTGCAACTTCGCGTCTCTCGCAATACCATGATAAATATTGGCCCTATTTCCATGAAGGAACATGTTTTACTTAATTTAACACAGTTTTCTCGCAATGTTACTCTGTTTCTTGCGGATAAAAATTACGTAATATTTGCCGATACCCCCCGCCTCTCAATAGAATACAATACATAAGTAAGAATATATGAGATTCGGCTCGACCCCTTCTCCCTGAACGCCTCACGTAAGTAATGGATGCCCCTTGTTTTTTTTTGCAAATGTGTGCAAATGTATGTGTAACCCAACACTAACACCTAACCATTGAAAGAATAAAACAAGGTCAATCCATGATTATATTATTGAAAGATCAGCAACATGAGATAACGACTACCAAACGCAAATAGCTGTATAGCTAGAGAAACAAGCTATTACAAGTAGCCGGGGCTGTAAAATTTGAGAGTTTTTCCTCAATTTCTTCGGGATCCTATCATCAGATCCTGATTTGGTGGTAATGGGACCACCTCGGCAGTATCATTCATTTTCCTTTCGATGACAAATCGAATTTTGAAAATCGGTTCACAATTGATGGAGATATCGCGTAACAAACACACAAAAAAATACAGTCGAATTGAGAACCTCCTCTTTTGTGTTTTTGAGGTCGGTTAAAAACACTAATAAATAGTTATATGTTTGTAATATTAACATACGACATAATTTTGATACTGCATAAAATAAGTTTTTATAAAACTATATTTTGGCACAAAAAAGCCGCTATTTAGATATTTGTAGTTTTAAAAACAGTGTCACTCGCAATAAGAGTAGAAGCAAATATTTTAAGAAGAACTTTGAGAACTTATAAGGTTTTGGATTAAAATTATAAACAGTAAAATTATAACAGTAATGCGTGTGATATTGTTCCTGATGACAGACACACAATAGCGATGTCTCACACGTCGGATGACCGATGAACCATAGACGATGACGCTATCATCTGATTCAACAGCAAATGTCAATATGCCTATAAAAATTTTACTATACCATTTTTGTTCCGCACGTTGCAAATTCCTATTTAATAGTAGTAATGATGTATTGCAACAGTTACTGTTGTACAGATAATAATCACGCACTTATTCATATCATATCTGTTATTTATCTGCAATCTTATATGTGTTCAAACGGTTTTATTGCAACATAATTCTCTTAACATACCTCTTACCATTAGATTGAATGTATTGATCGTAATCTTCGGTTTACTGTTCTATTAACTGAGTCAAATGAAGGTGAAATCGCATTAGCCTAGATCGAAATATTTACCGATTTTTTTATAGTCTCATAATTTCTGTTGCCTAAAAGTACAGAGTTATCCTCTTTAATGTGTATGTTTCGCGATTCTTTTTTTTAATGAATTGTTGATACTCAAGGTTGGTCCCATTTATATTTGAAAAAAATATATTTGTTTCACTTCCAAGGGCATGACGGGATGAAGATGACCAGTAGTAATCAGTGTAATCAGTAGTAATAGTGTTACAATCTTTAACGCTCTAATTAAGGAAGATTGTTCTCTATTGGACCGTCAAAATGCAATATATTTTTATTTACCTTGAAGTATTTGACACTGTTATGAAGTCTTATGTCTTGTCCAATATATCACAGCGATGCGCTGACATCCTACGGCGGTGATGGTATCGCAATGGTACAAATATATACGCCGACTACTATCTGTCATATAAAACAATTTACGGGCCTACTACGTTAAGCTTCGCTCCTTTTGTATATTTATCGACCATAAATCTAACAAGTGTAATTAACTTAGGTCACGGTGTAAACGTTATGACTATTTGACGCATAAAAACCAATGCACTTTTTAGTTATTTAGTTTTACCGTGTGTTATATTATGTCTAGTTGGTTTTATGGTGGTAAAATAGATGTATTTAGTGTAAAGAAGGACAATAACTAATGATTAAACAGAAATTATTAACTTGTAAATATTCTACATACAACTTCTTTCAATATGCTGTTAAATGTACGCTAAATAACAATATCTGAATAGAACATAATGAGTTTCAGACTAAGCATAAATCTTCTTGATTCTAACTAAATCAACTAGTCTCGTAAAACTGCTTATTGGTTTTAATAAAATGAATGGTCTCTAGAATTGTGGGTAAAGAGGGATGTATGTATGGATTGAGGAGCCACTTCAGATTTTAAACAGAAACTCCCTCCTTATTTAGTAGATGAGCAAATAATTTTGTAGGACAAATCCTGAAATTTGTAGTAAGATATATCCAAAGTTATATCAATGTAAAAAGTGGCTCCTTAATCTAAGCATAGAATTGAATATTAAAAAAAAATAGTATCATTTAGTAGTAATTGTGTATAGTGCCTACTAAAAATCTGAATCCGTACTGTTGATATTCAAGATTATACAATACTTTTAATGTGGCTACTCGATCTATATTTAAGAGCGTGAATTGCCATGAAAGTAATAGGTCAAAATGTATATTCCACTACAAAAACATTTAGTGTGTTTCTATCATTCATCATCATTCATCATATCATTCATCTAGTGTGTTTGAATTTGTAGCATCAGGAGAAAGTAGTAAAACTAAGTGGATTTAGTAAATAAACGCATTTTATTTGGCTCCTCAATCCTGACGTTCTTAAAAATAAAAAAACCAGAGACACTAACATCTTCTATACATCTATATCTATACAAATAAATAAAATTGTTTGTAATGTCAAAATAATAGTTTTTTTTTCATGATGGTTATTTGTATCTATGCCTAAAACCAGTTTAACATTTTTTGTCGGTCTGTCTGTATGTTTGTTCCGGGTAATCTTCATAACGGCTGGACCGATTTTGAAAATACTTTACTACCAGGTAGCTGCCTATATAAGGAGTAACTTAGGTTTTTTTTCCTTTCCCCAAAATCCCACTAAGGCAGCGCTTTTCAAATTCCAACGCGAACGAAGTCGCGGGTATTATCTAGTTTAGGATAAATGTCTACTAAATAAATATGTACAGATCAACGTTGTATATATTCGGTATCTGAAAAATAAATAACTTTTTTATATTTCTTATGAATTCGCTTATTTGGGTTGACCATATCAAAATGTGAAATCTCAAGGACTAGTTTTTGAAATTTAATT